GATGAGGATGAAGATGAGGATGAGGAGGGTCTGACCTGAAGAGCAGCAGGACAGCCTGAGGAAACGTCTGGAAGTTGTTGTTCCTGTTGATCTGAGTGTAGTCCTGCATCGCAATCTTCCCAAACGTCTACACAACAGACACACACAGACACACACAAACACACAAAAAAAAAAAACAGACACACACAGACCCATTAGGGCAGGTTTAGTTATCCTGGACAGCGTTTGCATCCTGTAGGAGCAGCTCTAAGTCATTCTGACAGTTTATATTTTGTTCATCTTCAGCTCTTCAGGTTTTTGTGACGACCAACATGTTCTCATCATTTCAGATCAGTGGGACCACGTCAGAATCACTCAGAGCTGGTTTCACTCTGACGACCTTCAGATCAGGTGTGAGCTCCACCTGTGGGGACTCACCTGCATGCCGATGACGGCGTAGATGAAGAAGATCATGGCGATGAGCAGGGCGACATACGGCAGCGCCTGCAGACAGGGGGCGCTGTTAGGTGGCTAGCTGGAGATTCACTTGTGGAAGTATAGAAACAGAAACAGTGACTCAGCATGTTTGTGCTGAGTCACCTCTGCTGAGTTTTAAACTGCAGCAGAACCTGAACAGCTTAGTTATTAAGCCCCGCCCCCTCTGGCATTAAGCCCCGCCCCTCTGACCTGCAGTGACTTGATGAAGGTCCACAGCAGCGTGCGGATCCCCTCCCCTTTACTCAGCAGCTTGACCAATCGCATGACTCGAAACAGGCGGAAGAAGGTGATGGAGACGCGGGAGCTGTCCTCGCCGCTCTGAAATAGCAGCATGGTTAGGATCAAATCACAGATATCAGGACCGAGACTTTAAAAACACAGGAAGTACTTCAGTCTGGAATGAAACAGAAATCATCAGAGATCGACATTCAGTCAGACCGAATCACCAACGTATTCATCCGCCGCCGTGTTTCCGGCTGAACGTGATGAAGGATCAATGAGGACGGTCACGGTCAGTTCAGGTCGTCAGAAATGAACCAAAACGTCTTAAAACCCGTCGAACGAGACTCCGAATGTGTCCAAAATTACAAAAAAAAAAAAAGTTTGTGAAGGACTTCAATCGTGACATAAATGATCAAAACTCAATAAGTTCAAAATGAACAAAAAAGTGACTCACAGATGACACCAGGCTTCTCAGGAGGCGTCTAATATTAGCAAAAGATCTGAAAAATGACCCAAAACAGCTGACAACACCTGGAATATATAAAAACGCTTCAAAACATTTCTTAAAAGAAAGAAAAAAAAGTACAAAATAACTGGAAACCTTTCCAACACAAAGTTGTCCAAAGTGACAAAAGTTTCAAATAAAACCTCAAAATGGCTCAAAATGTATTAAAACTGACTAAAGGATTGTCAAAAATACCTAAAAACTGCCTTCAAATGATTCCACAACAACAAAAATGTAAATAAAAAGGATTTTAAAATGACCAAAAACAATGAGCACAACTTCCCTAAAACTCGTCTATGATGACCAAATTACTCTACAGTGATTTGAATCTCGACACAAACGACAAAAACGAGTTAAAAACGAACAAAAAGAATCAGAATTTGTCCCAAACTATGAAGAAAATGTTAAAAATATCTCAAATTTATCAAGAAGGCTCCAAAGTTAATATAAAACAGTTGAAAATGACGTAAACGTGTCAGAATTACAACAAAACTCATCAAATATGATCAAACTTTGTCAACGACTCCTGATACGTCCAGAATCAGCCAACAACCATTAACCCGAAACTTTCCCTGAAGATGTTCTGATCCAACAGAACCACAACCTGTTCTGATCCAACAGAACCACAACATGTTCTGATCCAACAGAACCTCCTCCTGCTCTTGTGTGTGACTCACGCTGAACTCGGTGACCACGATGTCCACCACGCTGCCGACCACGATCAGAGCGTCGAAGGAGTTCCAGGCGTCCACGAAGTAATGCTGCAACAG